ATGATGTCGAGACGGAAGGCACTAATGGCGATAAAGAGTGGTATACGTTGTCCTGATTCACTCCCAACACAAACCGCATTCTAACAGACTACAGTGGTCGACATTTCGCCAATGATCCAGTAGACTTCCAGAGCTTCCTGTTGTCCAAGAGCCGCATCGGTAGGAAAGATGTAATTTACCGTACGGACAACCCGATATGCATTCGGTTGAAGTTAAAAATGGTACGCCACCATGCTTGTGTCTGATGGCATTCGCTAATGAGAGGAAGAACGTGGGACTCATCGGTCAATATGACCTATGGGTTAAACGAGGTGTTGTCAGCATAATGGGGGCAAAATTGCCTCCGAGCCCCCATCTCTATAGAATATATGCACCGTCGACGCATTCACTCCCTGTCATAAAATGCGTTTCGGGCATTGAGGGCTACGCGGAGGTTGAGATCAGGTCATGCAACAATGGGCTTAGCCGCTTAAGAAACCTGTCAAACCTATATCATCGGATATGGAATACCAAGGAGCCAGCTCCGGGTTCCATTTTACAGCCCGGCCGATGTTTATCGTTCTCAATCGTAAGCCTGCTTTGAAAGACTTCATTAGCTGCTTGCTAACAAGCCTCCAGCTTCATTCGTCTTCTGACGATCCCTTAAAAAGGCATCTACGCCCACTACATCTTGATAAGAAATGGAGCGCGTCTATTCATACCCTGTCTCAACGAGGAGGCTTTCTTCGAGTATTAACTTGTGGTCCGAAAGGATCTGGAAAATCCACCTTCAATAAATACCTTCTAAACCACCTCCTGAGCCCTCCTCCGTCGGAAGATACCTTGCAACACAACCAACATGGAGTTGCTTTCCTGGATTTAGATCCTGGGCAACCTGAGCTGTCTCCGATGGGTCAAATATATCTTGCCCACTTGCGAACACCACTTCTAGGACCGCCGTTTTCGCATCCAACCCTTAATTCTCAATCAGACGGACATATTGTTAGATCCCATTATATTGGAGCTTCTTCACCGAAGGATGACCCTGACCACTACATCGCGACCGCAATGGATCTGATGAATCGTTATCAAGAGCTTCTCCAGAGCTATCCCCAATGCCCCCTTATCATAAACTACCCTGGTTGGATCTTTGGGCTTGGACCTCGAGATTGCCATATCTTTGGTCACATCATTGGGCCTCACTGATGTAGTATATATGAGTGACAAAGGACCAACTGAGGTCGTGGAATCGCTAACCGCCGCGGTCTCGGAGGCTGGCATCCCCG